CGCATAGTGCTTCATTTATATATATGGACATTACACTCATTATTTCATTGTGGAATGCCTTACTAAATTACAAAGAGAAATGCTAAGAAGACTCAAAGTGAGACTCTCCATGGACTTTCCTCCACCTCATGTTTTTGGCATAATATTTTATAATGTTGGCACCAGAATTGTGTTATAAACATGAGGTGGCGGGGAGTCTATAAGGAATCCCACTTTTGAGGGAGTCTCTTTAGCATTTCTCAATTGCTAATCATAAAAGTGAACATAAGAGAGAGACTCGGGAAAGATTACCATGCACCATGAGACATTATTGGCATTCGAAACCAATAATGTAATAGTATTATAATTATTGATAGACCTGTAAACGGGTTGGGTTTATTGGGTTTGGGTCGGATTCAATCCGACCCGTTAAGTTAACGGATCACCTGAATCCAACCCGTTAAGCTAACGGGTCATCCGAACCGACCCGTTTCACCCGTTAACAATTATTATAATTTTTTTTTTGCATAAAGTTTATTTTTTGTTATTAAGACTTTACTAAAATTACTAAAATATCCTCAACTAACGGGTGCTAACGGGTGGATCCAAAGTGACCCATTATTTAACGGGTTGTTAACAGGTTCATCCGTTAGCGACCCGACCCATTAAGCATCCACTCAAATACAAATATTAACTAGTTAGATTGGGTCGGATTAACATATTGGGTCCAAAATGCCAGGCCTAATTATTGACATGATTATTAGGGTGGCGTCTCGAAGATTGTGTATAAATCATTTCATGCATTTTAGACATGGACAACATTGAATACAAATTTTCTTTCAATACTTTATGTTCGTTGATTTTCTTTATTTTATTTAAACTAACAGTCTAAAATAGTGTGCATCCGAAGAAAAAAGGGCTTGTTGAAATTGATTCCATGCAAGTATAATCACAACAAAAAATAAAACTTTAGAAGTGTTTGATTAGAAAGAAGAAAGAAAGAGTTTATTGCCCGCACATAGAAAAAATGATTCTACGAATACGATTATAGAATAGATGTGTTTGAATGCGATCAAGAAACGTGTTGCATTTTTTTTGTATATTTTTATACTTAAGTTTGATACCTACACTACTTAACGAATTTAATAGTTCAACCATTGATGTAATATGTCTTATGTAGTTTATAGTCACAATTCTTTTAAACTCCCGCATAGCGTGCTGTGATAAGAAAAAGGGCTCATCGTATGTGCCAAACGTTTGCGAAGAGGTTAGTTCTTTTATCAAGTGTATGTTTTTTCTTTATTTTGATCCGAATCACTAATTTTATCGTTTTAACTTTTTTGGTTACTTGGGTTTTTAATGTTTTTATGCTTTCTATATTTCCAATTTTATTTTATTATTTTGTTGTAGGAGAATGATGCTAACACTGAGCAACAATGTGAAGTGTGGATAGAAGAAGCCTTGGTGTTTTCGGACTCGTTTGGAAGTATTTTTAAAATAATTGACAATACTTTTATTGAATTTTTTTTTAGAATCAATTCTTAATAAAAATACAAATGAATCATGGAAAAACACTTAAGGTCCATCCTGCAAGAAGCACTTCAAGTTTTTTTGGAATCCAACAACATTTTTTCTAAAAAGCGATTTCAATCATTTTTGCAGCATTTCCAAACGAGTTCTTCTAATTTCTAGTCTGTGTCATGTGTGTCCTCTTTTTCTTACTCTAAAGTTTTGTCCTAGGTGATTTTTTTTGAGAAGGTTTTTATTGAGGCTCACTTGTGTTTTGCTTTTTTACTTCCTTTGATACTCTTTGGACAACGTATCTTTTATAAGATTCAGCTTTTGTTCTTAATATTCACATTGAGTTTGGATTTTCTTTTTAGTCATCCTTTGTACTATCTTATGGTATTTTTAATGAAATCATCTAATATTCTAAAAAGAAATTTATTTTAAGGGAAAACATCAACAACATAATCAGATCACTTCCCATCGTTAAATAAATGTCAAAATTGTCTATTAAAAACCATATCTTCTGAGTTTTGATAAACTATAATTCCTATTGATTACGTACAACACAAACAGAATTTGTTCGTATTTCTATCTCGTCACCTTTTTGTATTTTTTATGTAAAATCAAATTTTAAACATCAATCCATACAAAAGATAAACCAAATAGTGTGAAACGTATTTCTAAGTTTCAACTATGCAAAGTTGAAATTAAATTATAAGACAATACCAAAGTTTAAATAAACTAACAAAATGCAAAAGAGCAACACTGTCATTCATTTCAAGTGAAAAGCAAACAACATACTTCAAGTATAGTCATTCCAAACTTGTACCTATTACATGCATATATATATATATATGTATGTATGTATTTCCACGAACATTTAGGATATAAGTCAGGTTGAGTTTGGGTTGACATGGGGTGGACAAAGCATCAACCCAATAAACAGTCGGGTTGAGGTTGAGTGGATTTAGGCGGATTATTGTTACATTCTAACCAGCCGGATTGAATTTGAAATCGACTTAGACATGAGCGAAGCCGAGTGTACCCAACCCAAATTGCACCCCTACACCTCATGCAGAAAAGTTGCATCAAAATTATTTGGGCAGATTCCCACTATTTTATGCCACCCTTTACACTTGTTTACAGAATACTAAAAGAAGTATCTCCGTGTCTTTCTTAGTTAGAAATGGTAGGAACCAAAGAATAAAAAAGAACGTGACGTTTCAAAAAGTCATCTGCATGCAGAGTTTGAAACTGGATTATTTTGGTGTTAATACTTAAATTTATCTGTTTAGTTACTAATCTTTGTATAATACCCTTCATTGGCTAATCTGGCTCTGACCACTAATACTAAAACATTTTGTACAAAGTTAACATAACCTAACAACTTGCTCCATTGACTTATAATAAGTTAGAATACTTTGGTGTTTCAACCGTGCGGAACATCATTTCTTCTTCAAAGACAAAACACCAAAAAAATATTCTTGATCCCATTATCTTTTCCTTTGTTTTCATCATGTTTTCTGCTACCTACTTTCATTGTTGTATTTGTAAATGACAAGATTTGACTCTCTTACCAAATCAACCGGAAAGAAATCCTTTTAGGGAAATGAGGATATATATTTTCCCCTTAGTAATTGATGGAGTGTAACGTTTCAAATCTTCTGTACCTTGAAGCACCCATTATTTGTAAATAAATATTCAAATAACTATTACAGATTCAAATTAGTTTTATAGTAAATAAAATGTCCAAAAATAGCCTAGTGGTGAGGGTGTGGATAAGGGGTGGGGTAGAATTAGGTCCTAGGTTCGAAACCGGGTGGGGGTCGGGGTGGGGTGGGGTTAATATATATATAATGTCCAAAAAATAACCCAAACTAATTACATATCTATGTTTTATCGACAGTGCTATTCGCACACTCTTTTTACCTCTCACATACTTTGTTAACTTTTATCTTTTAATTTTCTTAAATTCTTTCGATCGTCCAACCGAAAATTGAGAAGAGTGTGTGAGAAGTAAAAATGGGCGTGCAAATATCACTCCCCTATAATGGCCTTTCAATTACAGTTAAGTTGATTGTATTCCATAGGGATTGTAGTTTTTCAAGAAACGGTGAGAAGTAAAAATGGGCATGTAAATATCACTCCTCTATTTATATTTAATGGCATTTCAATTACAATTAAGTTGAGTGTATTCTATAGGGAGTGTAGTTTTTCAAGAAATGGTATGTAGCATATAGAAAAATCTTCCTCGATTAAGTTGCCATGAACGAATTTCTGAGTTAAAACGGAAATGGAAACAAATTAAACATTACAATTCTGAACTATCTTTTGAAGCTTCAGCTAGAAATAACAAAATTTAATTTGTGTTATATATTAACTTGGAAATAATGAATGTCTGAAATCAAGAAAATCTCTATAATTTAGACCAATCTACTTCCAATGTCGATCGAGGATCAGAAATACGATCGGCTTTAATTTAATTTCTCACCAAAGAAAAGAGAAGTAAAAGATACAGAGGATAAAAAAATATATATACAGATTGTGCATGCTTACGTCTAATGAAAGCAATATTCTTTGATATATGAAAATTGTTTTATTTGATGATATTTGCATGCATGACATATGGCTTATGAATTTGCACGCCATGTTGTATTTCTCTCTGGTTTTCGTATTACTCATGCCCGACGGTTTAACACAAATAGATCGGACAAGTCAGCTTTTTTTAGATGACTTTTTAGTTTGAAGTACTTCCAAATCACACTCATGATATTTAATTTGAAAATTTCCTTCCTAATCATCAATAAAATTGCTATCGTTTTGTTTAAAAAAAAAAAACATAAATAACAATTTGGGTCGTTTCTGTTAGAACATAAAGAGCATCTGGTATGGACACTGACTTCCAGTACATATACATAGTTGATACTATCATGTATTTGCCAAATCTCAAATCGTTAATATGTTGTGGGTTGAGTATTGAGCTCAAACAGGAAAAGTTAAGCCTCATAAACATCATATATTATTGTTATGTCATGTCATATTATTATGCCGTGTTACAAGTTCATGTGTTAGAAAATGAGTTGTCGAAGTAATTAAGTAGGGAATTGTCCTAGTGGTTAGGGTCTTTTTTTTTTTCACTCATTACACCTTGGCTTCAAATTCTCTCACTCTTTAAAATAGATTAGTATAGAATATCACTTATAATAAAAAAATAGTAAACAATAAAAATGAATTACTAACACCATATTTTAATGTAACAATTGCACTCGTCACTTTTTCCTTGCCACTAGTTGCAAAGTTTAGAAAGATTACGAAGAATCATTTACTTCAATGAAACTTTCCACCCTTGGCATTTCTCCCATATTCATGCCAGCCGCATACACATGCTTTTCGTTCATGCCTCTATATAAACTGATAACTACTAGTACTCCTCAACATTTAATTTTCTTGTTCTCTACTTCTAATAATCTTCTCAAATTCTCTGTAATCTCTTCCCCTACTTTTGTCCAAATATGTCACCTGCAGAGACAAACGGTTCAAAAAGGGCCTATGTGACCTTCTTGGCTGGCAATGGAGACTATTGGGAAGGTGTAGTTGGCCTAGCCAAGGGCCTAAGGAAGGCCAAATCTGCATATCCTCTTGTGGTGGCTGTTCTGCTTGATGTTCCTGAGGACCACCTTCAGATTCTTCAGTCTCAAGGATGCATTGTTCACGCAATTGAACCTGTCTACCCTCCTGAAAACCAAACCCAATTTGCCATGGCTTATTATGTCATCAACTACTCCAAGCTTCGTATTTGGGAGGTAGTATTCTCTCGTCAAATATACGCAGCTTAAACGCGTTTGTTTGTGCAATGAAATATGCTGTCGGTGTAGTTAAATGTTTTGTTGGTGTAGTTTAAAATGATTGTCGGTGAAGTTAAATGTGTTGTTGGTGTCGTTTAAATTGATTGTCGGTGAAGTAAGCATGTTTAACATGTTGTCAGTGCAATTTAAGTATGTTTAACATATTGTCGGTGTAGTTAAACATGTCGTTGATGTAGTTTAAATTGATTGTCAGTGAAGTAATTAAGCATGTTTAACATAGTACAATTTAAGAGTGTTTAACATATTGTCGGTGTAGTTAAACATGTTGTTTGTGGAGTTTAAACATGTTGTTGATGTAGTTTAAGCATGTTTGACATATTGTCGGTGCAATTTAAACATATTATCGGTGCAATTAAACATGTCGTGGGTGCATGTCATTGCAGTTTAAGCATATTTAACATATTGTCGGTGCAGTTTATCATATCTTTTGTACAATTTAACATATTGTCAATATAATTTAATTAGATTGTCAATGTAGTTCAAGCAATCAGTTTATTTGTCGGTGTAGTTTAAGTAGTCAGTTTATACATATTGTTGGTGTAGTTTAAGCCATATGTTTAATCAAAATGTTACATAATTAGTGGTTCAGATTATATTCTATAAGCGCAAAATATGAAATTGTATGGTGAGGCAAAAGAGAATACTTTTCCTAATTTAAATGATTTATAAGTCGTAAAGTGCATTTCAATCATGCAACTATCTACCATATGTGTAAACTAATTTGATTATGTGTATCAACTTGTAGTTTATGGAGTATGAGAAGATGATATACTTGGATGGACACATTCAAGTGTTTGATAACATTGATCACCTTTTCGACATGCCTGAGGGCAGTTTTTATGCCGTGATGGATTGCTTTTGTGAGAAGACATGGAGTGCGTCTCCACAGTACAAGATTGGATATACTGCCAGCAGTGCCCTAAGACGGTACAGTGGCCGGCCAAGTCACCACCACCTTACTTCAATGCCGGCATGTTTGTCTTTGAGCCTTGTGTTCTAACTTACCATGATCTGCTAGAGACCCTTGAAGTTACCCCTCCTTCCTCGTTCGCCGAGCAGGTAACAGGATAATCTGTTTATATTTCTGTGTTGATATCGCACGCCACAAACGCAAGTCATTTCGGGGTTTTTTGAAGAAAAAAAATTATAATCGTGTGTGATCGATCGATTTGAAAATTAATTTTGATGATCATATGCAGGACTTTTTGAACATGTTCTTCAAGGACATATACAGTCCTATCCCACCTATATACAATCTTGTTTTGGCTATGTTGTGGCGCCACCCTGAGAATGTGGACCTTGACAAAGTGAAGGTTGTGCATTACTGTGCTGCGGTATGTTATAAGTTATAACCAAAACTCATATATGTATAGATCACTTAAACATCATTCAATTTTCGTTATGAATAAGGAAAAATTCTCTAATTAGACTGTGAATCTCGATTAGTCATGAAGTTGATTTTCACCAAAATAAATCATTAAATTGATCACTTAAATATCATTCAATTTTTGTTATGAGCGAGGAAATGTAATTAGATAGTGAATCTTGATGGTGGATGAAGTTGATTTTTGCCAAAATAGAACTTCAAATTTACGGTCACGTACAAAGATTGCCTAAATAATTTGGAAGGAAATGTTCTCATATGAGATTGTGGATGATTTATCGAGTCGATTTTTGCCACAATAAACACTTTAAATTCACAGTCTAATAACATAATTAAGTACAAGTGTATGATGCAAAACCGAAGTTTGATTAAATTGAGTGGGATGTAGGGATCAAAGCCATGGAGATACACAGGAAAGGAAGAGCATATGGAGAGGGAAGACATAAAGATGCTGGTGAAGAAGTGGTGGGACATTTATGATGACACTTCACTGCATTACAAGAATGATGGTCGTGTGGTGAAGGCTGAGGAGCATGTGAAGCTTCCACCCTTTAATTCCGCATTATCTGGGACTGACAATGATGACCAAAGAAGTGTACCATCTGCAGCTTGATCAACTGGTTATGGGGTTTAATGTGACGCCGTTTTGGCTCTGAGAACCACACCTATATGTAAGAACTATATAGCTATACCAACTTGTATAGTGTAGGAAACTACACCTATTAATACTCTATATATATGGGTTGTGTTTGTACTTTGTAGTGTGACCGAGTTTGTGAATAAAATGATAAGTGGTGCTATCTATACACTTATTTTTACTTCTATACACCTTTTGTTAACTTTTTGTCCTTTCATTTGGTAGGCTCACTTAATTAAACAAGCAATGGTTGCAATAATTGTGAAATGACTGGCAGTTGACTAAGAGAAAAAAACGAGAGAGAGATATGGAGGAAGCAAAGGGAGTGGTGAACCATGTATTTCTAGCAAAATTCGAACAAGGAATCGCAGAGTAAGATTGAAGAACTCATCGAAGGCTATGCCAACCTCGTCAATCACATCGAACCCATAAAGTCTTTCAATAATACCGACTTCTTCCACTCTCGAAAATTCTAATATATGTTCCGGTATATCCTATACCCCTAGATTTCTGTCCTTTAAATCTTGTTTATTAAATCCTTAACCAAAGAATTTAGCGGCCAAAAATCCCAGCATATAATGTAAGCTTTGTTAGAGCTGCTCACCTGTTTAACATGTGCTTAAAGGATTGAGATCATAAGAGATTAGGATTGACTATACTTGTAAGCTATCAAGCAATGTATGTGGACTGATATATAGCTAAAGTAATTCTGATATGAGTAGATATATCTATACTGATATGAATAGTATGGTTTCGTGGTGATAATGGTTATCAGTTTGATAGTTTGATAAGGATTACATGATGGGAAGTATCCTTATCAAATACCACCATTTAGGATATATAATAATTAAGGTCCCCTGTTCTCAAACTAATTACACATAAAAAGATATCAAGCCCCATTGATTGTGGCAGTGCATTTGGTCTGTGTTGAGAGTAGAAGAACCCTTAGTTCATTGCAGCAATGACGTCACAAGGTTAGTGGTTAATTTGGTATTGTGATTTACTTATTCCGCATATATTGATCTTACATATAAGTTATATGATTGGTTCTTGAGCAACTGATGCAGCTACACGTTTAAAGAGTTGATTAATTTCTTTACCTGATTTTAATTGCAATTTGTTAACCTGGGAAGTTGCCTGCTTAGTTTGGCTGTGTGAAGTTGAGTTTTCAGATTTTTTGTTTCCTGATTCACTATGGGAGTCAGATGGGTCCTCAAAACGCTAATTCTTTTGGCAAGTTTAGCTGCCTTTTTTTGGGAAAGGGCAAATTTGGCAAAATTTTCTGCTTGAAAGAGGTTGAAGAATAATATATAATGTATATTCTGGCACGTCTCTTTGAAATCTTGACAATATATCACACACTGCAATTGAATGTATCATCCTAACCACATAATACATGTAAGATCAAAGAGCTGGGTATCTAACTTAAACGTCAATCTTTTACCTGAAATACTTCCCTAGTTTTTTTTATAGACTATTTTACGCAAATTTATCGTCTTTGTTCGTGTATGGCTGAAGAAATTTCTCACCCGCACTTAAACAAAGTTTTCCAGGAATTCAGAGAAGTTACAGCTAATTTGTGTGTCAACCATTAGTGGTATATGTGGTCTGCATAACTTCTCAATCCATTTCGTTTGTTAATGTTTCGTAATCTGGGGAAAGCTTGTGAGCGTTGAGAACCTGCTGATAAGCTAAGCCCGCTAAAACCAAATTCAAATGGTTCTCCTATCTCATCCAATCCTTCGCAACTGAAAGTTTTCAACTCAGTCTGAATGAATCAATGGTCCTGTCTTCGAGTCTACCTTTGAGAGCGCGGAAGCTGTTGCAAAGTACATAGCTCATCCTGCTCATGTTGATTTTGCAACTTTTTTCGATTCGCGTTTGGACAAAATCTACGTGTTTGATTATAAATCACCTACAGTTGGTATATAAATTGGAACAAGGACTATCCAAGGTGTCGATATCATGCCTATTATTGCACTGATTGGAACTTCATTAGCTTTGTAACAGACCACTGTGTTCTATCTGATTTTACACTGCATGCATGATGCCATTGAAAAAGGTGCGGCCTAACCAAGGGCCTCATGAAGACCAAATCTGCATACCTTCACTCTCAAGGATCATTGTTTATGCAATTTAACCTGTCTAGTGTCCACCCCTCCTCAATACTAAACCCAATTTTCCATGGTTGATTAGTCATCTTGTCACAAAATACTCAAACCTTCGTATTTTGGAGGTAATTTATCTTATCAGACATATTGTCGACGCAGTTAAAAAATATTATCGATGCAGTTCAAACATATTGTCGATGCAATTTAAACATATCGTTGATGCAATTGTAACAGTATAATCAAACAAAATTCTATAAAATTAATTGTTCGGATCGTATTCTACAAATGTAACATGTCAATCTGTCTATGGAAACGATATAATGTTCTTTCTAATTTAGGGAAATTTTAATAATTAAGTAGGTGACTAATGTTAATACATTTTTTTTTTGGAGGGAAATGTTAATACATGAATGTAAAAGAATGTGAGTCCACAGAATCACACGACACGTCGTTTCCTTTACAATACATACGAGGTTTGGTGTGTGGGGGGTGGGGGGGGGGAGAGAGAGAGAGATAAGAGAGATAGAAATAGAGAGATGGAGGAAGCGAAGGGAGTGGTGAAGCATGTAGTGCTAGCAAAGTTCAAAGACGGAATCGCAGAGAATAAGATCGAAGAAATCATCAAAGGTTTCGCCAACCTCGTCAACCTCATCGAACCCATGAAATCTTTCAACTGGTAATCATCCAAGTTACTTGTAATATCTGTTAAATGATAATGTTTTGTATTTAACTTCATTTCTTCTTTTTGTTGTTGTGTTTGGCTCATACATTTGTGAGTAATTATGAGTCATGTGTTAATAACAATGAAGTGACCTATGTTTGCTTTCGGTGGAAATATCACATGGTGTGGGTTGCATGAAAGTTGCAGACAAAGTAAACAAAAGTTTGGTGGACATCACGAGTAAAGACATAATGATGATGCTTGCTTTTACTTTAATGATGATGTTTGTTTTTTGCTTTAATGATGATGTAAGACATGATGGCTTGGCCCTAATGATGATGGCTTTGCCTTATATTGAGAGTGTTTGCCGAGGGAGAGTTAGGGCATCAGAAAAACAACCAAGGGGGAGAGAGAGCATCCGAAGGAGAACACAAATGAGAGAAAATATAGAGTAAGAGTGAGAAACTCTTGGGGAGAGTGAGTCTCTTGGGAAAATTCTATGAGTGGGTGTACAAGGGATTTGGGATTGGGTTATGTCGATTTAACTCATGTGTACTTGTACTGTTATTCTCATAGTGAAGAGCAATATCTCTCCGGGGACGTAGGCAGGATTTTGCCGAACCTCGTAAATTTCTCGGTGTCTTTATTTCTTGTATTTTATTCTGTTCAACTGAGTGTGATTTTGGTGAGGTTGTAATCTGAATCTCGTTTTCGCACTAATGAACGGACCAAGGCACAACACTTGTTCCTGCTTGGAATTCAAAGAATTGAATCTTGATGCATTTTTTACCTGATTTTTGCAATTTGATTGTTGATTTAGATTAGCTTTTCCCCAGTCTGATCAATACAGAGGTTTTGGTGCTTATTTGACTGTGGGAGTCAGATGGGTCCTCAAATCCTAGATTTTTAGGCAAAATTTAGATGCCGTTTCTCGAAAGGGTGCAGCTTTAGTTAAACTTTGATGCTTGAAGGGGGTTGACGCTTCAGCTATCGGTTAAAGTTGCAGTTTTTCTCTTGAAAAGAGTTAATTTTATTGGGTGGATATGTTTGCCAAAAACTCAAATTGGTATGATAAGGTTCACTGTTTTCACATTTGGCATATCACACTAGAGTTGCTTGTATCAAATATAGGCCTCGTTTGGTTTCTAGGATTGGATTTGAATGGACAAACACGTAAATTCAGTCCTCTAGACCAAACGAGGCCGTATGGTATTATCATCAAAGAGATGGACATCGCTGCTGCAATTCCCCCTTCCCTTAAAGCTGTCGAACGAGTAGTAAATTCAAGTAGCGTTCTCCTGAGTTAGACAAGTTTCTGTTAATGATGTAAGTATTTGGTTCGTGTTTTTGTGATCAGGGGAAAGGACGTGAGCTCTGAGAACCTGCATCAAGGTTTCACTCATATCTTTGAGTCGACCTTTGAGAGCACAGAGGGTGTTGCAGAGTACGTAGCTCATCCTGCTCATGTTGACTTTGCAAATTTGTTCCTTTCACATTTGGAGAAAGTCATTGTGATCGATTACAAACCAACTGCAGTAAGTGTTTAAATCGGAAGGACTATCCCAGGTGTCATGTATCGTCCTATTTCTCTGAGTGGAACTTAATTTTCTATGTAAGAGTTTGATTCAGGTCTGTTTTACCTGATTTACAAACCCTATGTAGAATGAAATAATGAAAGAGAGGAGATAATTGTTTCCAAGTCATTGGTTTTGCCTCAACTTTTTGTTGGAGTATGTGGCCAAGTGGCCAACTTTTGGCTATAAAAAATTATAAAGAAAAAAAAAAGAAAGGACAACATGATTATGTTTCCTTGTTTTGTGGCATGTTTTGTGGCTTTTTTTAAAAGCCATAATTATGATGTTTGTTTCGGATAGAAGAGAAGAGATGGATAGCTCATTTTTCAGTAGAGAGAGCTGAAGAGAGAAGTGAGAGCTGCAGAGAGAAGTTAGAGCTCTTTTTCTGCAGAGAGCCTAAAAGGAAGAAGAAGCTGCTGCTTCATTTGGTTAGTAATCATCCATCAAAATAGGTGTTGTTGTAATAGCTTTGAGCTATATGTATAGAGAAGAAATTATTCATTATATTTCTTTCTCTATTTGTTTCTGTGGTGTGTGAGAGTTATTGGGTGTATTGGGTTAGTTGGGTTGTGAGATTGCCAACACTTTGTAAACTCCCATTCGGTTGATAGTGGATTATTGGGTGAGCTC